GCTGTCCTCATCAGGCACCTGGCAGCTGCTAGCTCCAGGCCCTTAAAGTGACAGGCACAACCAGTGCCCTGCCACAGAGCTCCTATTCTTAGCTCTATAGAACACACTAAACACTTTTGGTAGGGTGAAGGGGAAAAAGGTGGTGTTCAGTTCCTTTAAGAAATCCCCATCTTGTGTCACTGGATACTTGCTAATATGATTTCACATCATATAGATTACAGAAGCAGTGGGTGCAGTACAAGGTATTTGAGGGAAGACACCTTTCTTGTTCTTCGGGGTTGCCAGCAATGCAGCTAACTTTGCTTGCTGCTGTATGAATTCTAGACAATGACAAGTATCAGTCCTCAAAATATTGAATAAAGCAGGGAAGTTTAGCGGTCATTTAAAGCAGAGCTATTGGGACAAAGACATTAATTTTTGAAACCTGAGTATTTGGCACCTAAAAATTGAGTGGTACAAAGCATGTTGTCATTTTGGTCCTTATTGGAAGAGGTAAACTTTAAGTGCTTTAACAGAGGATAACTAGAGTGCAATAACCAGAGGATGGCTGTGTACCTAGCTGTGTTAGACAAACCAAGACATGACCTAAAATCACTGATGGGTGAACAGAAGGAATTTCTGGATGAAGTAAAATTTTAACTCATAGCCCCCAGGCCTTGGGAGGGAAGGAGAAGACTCTAAACTTGTGTTAGTAAATATAAAATCTTGAGAGTTTAAGGGTTAGATAAAAACAAACTATTCCATTCTATAGACATGTGAATTCCAACTCTCTGTGTCCTAATTTAATCCACCTCGAATGTTCTTCTGAAACTATCTAAGTCCCCCGCAGATTGGGCATTGAGAGAGCTTGCCTACAGGGAGGAGTACTTGATAAACAAGAGCACTCATGTGAGAGAGACTGTAGTCTTGAACCACTCCATTTGTAAGGATTCATTTTGTCTCTAATGTTGTATTGCTAGAGGCTTCCAATTTCTAAAGTACATATGAGATATTAAAATGGGCTGTCAGCATAGAGGGAAGAAGTGGTAGGATAAAGAAAAATTATTAGTAGGAATGAGATACAAATATTTGTATTTGGCAAATACGGGTGGTCTTCAGGTATAGATTGGAGGCAATTGCTTCTAAACAACTGTATCTATAACTGAAATATGTTATAGGTGGTGGATGGGCCAGATCTTTGCCTTAGTTCATTGAGACCAAGGGGAATTAATGTTTTTTTTCTTTCTGATACCAAGTTTGAGTTGATACTTGTGAGCCTCATAGCTTGCTTACCATTGTAAACATCAGGTAAAAATACCCTGACCCATTAGAAGACATGGTCCACTGCAGGGGTTGGCAACTTTTGGGCCAGATGTGGTTGAAAGAGCTATTTGATCTGGCTCATGGATGTGAAGCTTCAGGGGCATTTGGTGGTGGTAGCTCTTCCTATTCCACCACTGAGAGAGATGGCATTGGTGGCTGGGTCCTACCCATGCCTCTGACATGAATTGGGTCATTCCAGCCTGCAACCTGAACCAGATTTGAACTATATTCTGTTTCTGTTTGTGCTACTGGTCTGTGGGTGACTTTGAATAAGTCACTACCCATTGTCTCCTTTTTCTTCTCTATAAATAAAAGTAATAGTGACCTCATTTTGTGAAGTTATAGTGAAGTGCTAGGTAAATAAATGGATGATGGACAGGGCATTTTGTTCCTGAGCTGTGTAATCTGCAGCAATGGATTAGGGCTAATTATCTGGATTAATCTGAAATGTAGGCTGTATAATAAGGGACATAAATATAGGTAGGAATGAAATGTATGCTTGGAGCTTATTTGGAGTACAGGTATTTAAATATGCGAATTTGGCTTTCTCAATCTGTTATAAGAGGATTAACACAACTTGAAAGTGAAAAAAAGTTAACATTTGAATTCTGGTTTATATAACAAAAAGTTGTGATGAAACTTCTTAACAAACCCTATTGAGATGCTAGATCCTGCAGATAGCTTCATGAAGTAGTAAAGTTAAAATGGAGCTGATAAATGACAGCGATCATTAGCGCTGTGCGAAATTTTGCCGACCGTTTCATTTCAACACTGTTTCGACTCATTTCAAGCTCAAAACAGCTAAATCAAAATGAAATGAAGGACTTTGAAACAGCCTCCAAATAAAACAAAGGCAGTCAAAATGCTCTGAAAGTTTCGAAACGTTTCAAGTTTCGAAACTCAAGCAGGGCTTGCCTGCAGGGAAACAGAAAGTAAGGAGAGGGAGCAGGAAGAGGTGGGAAGGGCTGCTCTTATATTGACTGTGTAGCTGGCCAGTGACTGTGGTCCTTCCCTGAGGTCCTTTCCAATCCCAGTACTCTGGGGAAAGGATGGAAAAACAGCATAAAAGGCAGCATTGTTTGAACTGGCCTACTTTCTGTCATCCCTGTCACAAGTTTTGCTTGTCAGCAGCCTGAGAGGCAGTTTCCCAGAAACCCTGGCACCTATCTCCTTGAAACCTTGCAGGCTTCATGGCCTCAGCAGGAGCTACCATCCCTGCAGTTTTTACTCCTCTGTGCCTTAACTCGCAGTTTGCTTGTAAGCAGCTTGTGGTGCAGTTTCCCAGAAACCCCAGGACCTGTCTCCTTGAAACCTGGCAGACTTTGTAGCCTCAGCAGGGGCTACCTTCTATGCAGTTTTCACAATGCTGTGCCTTAACACACACATGTAGCACAAATTTTGCTTTCAGGAATTTGAGGTGCGGTTTCCCAGAAACCCCTGTATCTATGTCCTGAACACTTGGCAGGCTTCATGGCCTAGGAAGGAGGTACCATCCCTGCAAGTTCCATCTGAATCAGGCAAGAACTGACAAAGTTATAGGCAGTTTTGCAGTTCCCCATAATAGCCTATGGGCGAAATGTCAAAACAGTGTCGAAACAGCAAAACAGTTTTGACAAAACGAAACAGAACAGTGGTTTCAAAATGAAACGAAACTCGAGAAAAAACACTGTCCCGTCAAAATGTTGAAATGGAAGTTGAAACAAAATGATGCTGTTTCGCACAGCCCTAGCAATCATCATGACTTGACTGAACATGCCATAAGCGTTCTCAGTCAACACAGTAGTAAAAAGCTCCCTTTTGCTAAAGCATTATGTTGACACTAGACTTAAGCAGATTGCCATCTGCTGGGATAAAGAATAAAAATCTGTCAAAATAGATAGTGATGATGCAAACACTGTTAGCCTTTTGGTAGGGAAGTTAATATCTTGTTATAATAGAACCCAGAAGGAGCCAAATATATACTCAAGATGTCGTTTGCTATTCAATGGAAACTTGCTGTTTCATATGAATTTGGGAGATTGGAACAAGTTGTCTGTTTGGCTTCCCAGACAGTAAGCAAATACAATTTCCTCAAAAAAATCTACTAAATGAAGTGACTTAGATAATTCAAATTCTACACAGATATTAGAACAAGGGTGGGCAATGTCCAGCCTGTGGGTCAAATCAGGCCAGCAACAGACTCCATTTCCCAGCATCCCCTGCCTGCATCGCTGTGGCCAGTTTCCATAGAGACCCCAGGAGCAGCAGGGCTGTGACAGCATGGGGCCAGGATTTCCACGGAGACCAGCCCGAGCAGCGCTGGCAGGGCGCACGGCTGGGTGGGGAACTGTTCTGGGGCTGGAGCCGGGGCCAGGATTTTGCGGAGGTGAGAGCACGGTCCGGAGCCAGGGCAGAGCTGCTCAGGCCGGTCCCCATGGATATCCCGGCCCTGCGTGTCACAGCCCTACTGCTCCTGGGGCCTCTATGGAAACCAGTCGGAGCAATATGGACAGGGGTTTCTGGAAAATGGAATCTGGCCACTGACCAGATCTGCCATTTTGCCCATCCCTGTATTAGAAGGACTGAAAAAAAAATAGAAAGGAAAGGAAAACATACGATGATTGTAGACTTGGGGGGTGGGGGAGAGGGGGCAAGCCAGAATGGTATCCAATATGAATACTGCAAACTTAAAAGACACAGCTTAGACTTTGAAACCTGACCTAAAGCTTACCAAAATCAGTGTGCTTGGTAACCTTATCAAACCCTGCATTTAGAAACTGAACTATGAAGTACAAGTATACCGCTCCCTCAGGGCAATGATCTGTCAGGCTGAAAAACAACAAACTTAGGTTCAGAAAATTTACAAATGATTTTTGTAGTTTAAAAGGTGGTAGCAGAACACTTTAACCTCTCTTGAAATTCCATCACTTAACTCAAAGTAGCTGTTCTTAAAGAATAAAACTTTAAAAACTGACTTGGAGGCAAAATTATGGAACAAAATCATCCACAGACTGGACTGCATTAAGTATGGTCTAAATAGAGACTATGAATTTTTATCTCATTACCTGGGCTAGCTCCCTCTGTCCCTATGGTTTTACTGCTTTGCTTACCATACTTACCTCTCAGCAGTGCCTCCTTCTTTTCCTTTCCTCCTTCCCTTCCTGTCCTTTTTACTTAGATTGCTGCTTTCTATTTATACTCCCTGTTCTCTTCAAGTCCATTCATAGCATCTGATGAAGTAAGCTATTGCTTATAAAAACTTAAGCCCCTCTGAATTAAAATAACAGTAGTTTGCAGTGTTTTTCAGCTTGCAGGCTGGCATGACCCAGCCTGGGTAAGGGGCAGGTGGGCAGGCACCTAAGATGCAGAATGTGCTTCTGCTTCTCTCTGCAGCAGCATGGCAAGAGTGCCTGTCTGCTGTGTCTCTCTACTGAAATTGGCCAAAGCCCCAGGCCAGATCAAATGGCTCTAGGTGAGCCATAGGTTGCCTACTCCTGATCTACAGAGTACCACTCTGTTCTGCCTTCTGTCTGGTATCAAGGGCTGTGAGTGGGCAGCCTGAGCAGAAGATGAGTTATCCCTATAGTAAAATTCATTTTTTCTGTTCATCAATTTCAGCATGTTGACTTCATTCTTCCCAAAGGAGTTTGAAAGCAAGTCTGTTGTCAGCTAGATCTTATACTGCTACTCCTGAGATTTAAGGAAACTTATCTAGTAACACCTGGGCCAGGTACAGACATTATACTTGTACTAGTATAAGTGATTGGGAATTGGTCTATATCCATAAGAGAAGCAATGTTTGGCACAGACTGGTTCAAAAATGCCATAACTCAGTCTAAGATTTGTCCCTCCCACCAAACAACAATTATGTGTTCTATTCTGCACTGATCTAAATTACACCACTTACAGAAAACTGTGTAACTTAGATCAGTCCTGCCTTGGGCTTTTTGAATGTCTGTACCTAGCCCTGAAGTTGCAGGTGATTTTCATCAGAAGAAGAGGCATCTAGATAAGATTTTCTCAATGGTTTGGAAAGTACTATTGGAGTGCAGTGATACTATTGAGGGTTAATGCAAAACCAATATGTCCCAGATTTTAAATGCTCAGAAAAGGTATGAAATTTATGCTGTCTGGCTGCCACAGCGGTACCTTGCTGACTTCAGCTGAGACAGCAAATACATTTGTATTTGCAAGATGGAAGAAAATAAGAATTTTGAGTTTCTGAAAATAGTAAATAGACTAAGTAAAAAGAGTCAGTCATGACTTATCCTTGCAGTTTACTAGATACTCTGGTATAGCAGATGGGGGAAGATGGAGAAGGGAAACATTTCCTTAAACATTAAAGGGGATATAATGCTGCTTGGTAAGGTGCCAATTGAGTATACTAAGCAGCTGTCCTTTGAAATAAATGTTCTTGAATAGCTTCCATAAAACACAGATGACAAACTAGCCTTTATTTTGGGTTAGGATTTCCTGTGAGAGGCTAATATGACCCAAAAGGCTGGGTCTTCAGTTGGAGTGGTGCTTCCCTTTCTTCCCTTGAGTAGACCTGGGAAGCAATTGTTTGGCTAGAAAGTTTTCCTTCTTCCATAAACAGGTTATTAACCCTTCTGTGGGATAGAGGCAAGGCTCTGCTTCCTCCCTTCCCACTTACTGATGCTAGGAATGTGGCAGAATGCCATCTCTGTCTCTCCCCAAACTCTGCTATCAGGCTGCTGACCTATCTGACAATTTGGTTACCATGGTCACTGCAGTGGGCAGACAACCCTGGCTACAGGTAACCCTGAGTTGTAACCTGATCTGGATACATTCCTGAGGGAGGGGGAAATGTGCTCCCTCTGCCTATGTGACTGGCCTCACACACTGGGGTAGGGAGGCTTAAACTCCTTACTGTTCTAAGCCATGTCATCATGACTGGGACAGGGGTAGAGACCCTGCCAGTCACCCAGCAACCAGTGATGCATTTTGAATTGGTTGGCTGGCAGCCAACAACTCCTGGGCTTCATTGGATCAGGTAAATGAAGTCATAAGGTCTATATGTGGAGGGCCAGCAGCCATGATGAAAAATCTCAGAGAAGCTGGTCCATCTGAAACTCACTCCCTCTCTTGAAACTCATGGTCAATGAACTGCTTGCCTCCAGAGGGAATCTCCATCTGCCTCTGGATAATACTTGTGAGTAAGCTACTTGAGATCTAGCTAGATATATAGCTTGCAGTAAAACAGATGTGTAATTGTCACAGGGTCACGCAGGTGCCCTGTGCCTAGGAAGGGTTAAGGGCAGCTGCCAATCACCTAGGGAGCCCAGGTGGCGGTTGCTGGGGCAACCAGGCTGGTCACATGACCAGGAGGGGGCAGGGCTGGGCCTTTATAAACAGCCCCGGCCAGAGTCTAGTTAGCAGTTCCCTTCTGGTAGCCTGATGTGTGGGAGCTCTGCAGTAGAGCTGAGCAGGGCCGATGGTTGCAGTTTGACCACCCAAGCAACTACAATATGGTAAGGGTGGAAAGAACCCTGATGGGGAGGCTATTG